GTGTGTGTGTCGGGGGCGGGAGGGGGGTCAGTACAAGCCGCAGCCCCGCAGGTTGTTGGCGATGATGATGTCGGTGACGGCGTCGAACACCACCTGGATGTTGTTCGTGTCCGTGGCGCACGTCATGTGGCAGTAAATCTCCTTGTTGGGGGAGCGGTTTTTGCTCTCGAATTGTGCTTGGATGTAGGCGGCCGCGTCCTCGTAGGTGTTGGGACCTGCGGGCAGAGGTGGGGAGGGGGGGGACACGACACAGAGTTGGGGGCCATTAGCACCATCAATCACAGAATCACAGGATCTTCTAGGTTGGAAGGGACCTTCAAGATCATCTTGTCCAACCATCAACCTAACTGACAAAAATAGACACCCACACAACAAACAAGAAGCATCACCATCACTAAACCAGACCTCCCAGCACTACATCAACCTGTCTTTTGAACACCTCCAGGGATCACCCTCCTCACTCCTTGCAAACTGCTTTATTTATCAAAAAAAACCCTATCTATTTTCCATTTTTTCCCCAATTCACCCCTCAGCAAGGTCAAATTACCCCTCTTCCCACCCACCTCCCTCCTTTGCCCCTACACCAACCCTCTTCCACCCCATTTCCCTCTCTTTTCCCCCAAAACGCAGAGCACCTGAGCTCCATTGGAGACTCCTCCCTCCCCAGGTGTTCCCACTTTGCCCCCTCCACCCGCTCCCCTTTATCCCACCCTCAGAGAAGGGCAGCAGCACCTTCCAGCCCCCTTTGGGCCTGTGTCTGAGGGATGCTCCTCCTGGTGTCACCACTGCAAGACATCACTGGTGAGTAGATGCATCCCAAGGGACCATGGTGGGGGGAGAAAGGCCGGGGGGCCTGGTGGCCCCCCGGCTAGGTAGGCAGGGGGAGGGATGGTTGGGGGGTTAATTTCTACTGGCTTGCCCAGTGGGCTAGGGGAGCTTTGCTTTTGTAAGGCAGGCTGGAGAGGGGCCAGATGTTTTGAGCTGAAAAATGTGCATTATGGTATTAAGCCGCTTACAGCAGCGCCTGGTCCACCATGGGAAGCTCCAAAGCCTGAATTACGCCCCTGAAATCGCCTTTGGAAGAGCTGCTGGGATCTGGAGATTTATTTTCCTTTTCCAGCTCACTGGTTCCCCTCCTTCCCAATGAGGTGAGTGCCCAAAGGAGAGGGGAGGTGGCCCGGTGCCACCGGGCTGTCCCCCTCCCTGGGGTAGCTGGGATGTGCCGTATAACTCCGTGTGAGATAGGTTGGGATGTCCCACCAGGCAGCTGGGAGAAAAGTCCTGCTGCTTTCAGGGTGGAGAAGCCTCAAAACCTCCAGTGGCGATGCTGGTGCCCCTGTGCCGTAGGGGAATGGGCTCTGTCTTGGTGGGGGACCCCCTTGTCCCCAGGGGCTGGTGTCCAGGGTGGGGGTGCTCTGGGTGAAGTAGCTCAGGGACATCCAAGTATTTGTGGGGACGCTGGAGCCTCTGAGTCAGAGCTGGTTGGTTCTTTTCCTTGGAGAATTCCAAAGGGATATTTATTCTTACCCCACTTTCTTGTGTTTTGTTCTTTTCCCCCAGGCATGTTGGTTTTGCTTAAAAATGTGTGATTTCTTTGTGGTTTCACAGATTTCTGCTGCCAAGGGGCTCTTTCCTTCCCCAGCTGTGCCCTGAGCAGAGGCTCTCCTGGGAGGACGCAGGTGGGAGGTGACCCTTGGAGGACTGTGGGTGTCAGCTCCTCCGGCAGGACCTTCTCAGGAGCCACCAGTGAAGGGGATGGCTGGAGAGGCGGGTGGTCAGCTCACACCAAGGCTTCTTGCCCCCGGCTCTCCGTGGCCACATCCACCACGGCTCCTCTCCATTCACCTCAACCATCTCTCTTGGCCATCCCTCTGTCCCACCAGCCTGTGGTGCCCCTTTGCTGTGAGAACTGACGGCTTTTGGGACACGACCCCAGCCCAAGAGCAAAGTGATGGGGCTGCACAGCAGCTCTCGAAGGTGGGCAGAGCTTTTACCTGTCCCCCCCGCCCAATAAAGTCACCCTGTCCCCTCCATCCCCCTGCCCACCTCTGGGGCGAGACGCAGCCCCCATCCAGCCCCAGTGGTGGGGGTCACGCCAGGCAGCACCACGTCAGCCCTGGCACGTACCTGTGTATTCAGGGAAGCAGATGGTCAGAGGTGATTTCTTGATCTTCTCGGCAAATAGGTCTTTCTTGTTGAGGAAGAGAATGATGGAGGTATCGATGAAGAATTTGTTGTTACAGATGGAGTCGAAGAGCATGAGAGATTCGTGCATGCGGTTCTGCAACGGGGAGCACGGAGGGAGGAGAGGGGAGAGAGAGAAAGGCAAAGAGAAAGAGAGAGTTAGAGGAGAGGAGAACATTTTTCTGAATTGAAATGCTTAGAGGAAAAAATAAGTAAATCTTTAAAGTAAGACAGAGGTAAATGTGAGATGGTTACAAAGGTGGAGGAAACAGGGTGTTGCTCTCCTCCCAGGCTGGAGGACACAGCTGATCCCCCTCACTGTCTCCCTGCAGAGGCTCTGGAGCAGGGCTGGACACCTGAACCTTCAACCAAGAGCAAGAAAAAAAAAAAAACCCTCATTTTCTCCTCACCTGCAGAAGCTGAGGAGCTGGGGAAGGGGGCTGCAGCTTTCTGGACCCGCCTGCATCTCCTTGGGGGCTGGGCACCCCTGAAGAGTTGCTTGCAGAGCCAAAATAAGGGATGGACAGGCAGCACCAGCCAACAGCCAGGAGGCACTGGGCAGGGGGACTGGGATGGAGGGCCTTCTGGCCATCTTGGGGTGGTCTTATGGACCCATCTGGAAGGGTATTTGTGCTGAGACTGGTGCCAGACGGTGGGACAGGTCCTGTCCCAGCTGGGCTCTTCTACCCATGGGGGAAAAAATCTTCAGCACAGCTTTGAAAAGCCCATGGTGGTGGCTGCTAAGACATCCCAGCGCTTCTGCGTGGAGGAAACCACTGCAGGTGCCTCTCACAGCTCTCCTGAGCCTTCCCAGCTTGGGACTACTCTGGGGAAACTCTACCATGGAAGAGCCTTAGTAGGTGCATGAAGAGATGAACATCTCAAAAAGCTGTAATTTTATTTTTTTTTTTAAGTGAAGTGCCCTTTTACACGTGGACAAAAGCCACCTAAAGCCGTTTCCCCCCCCATGCCATGCAAGCTGTTAGCAGAAGGGAGTGGAGAACAGCCAGGAGGACAGGAGGAGGAAGAGGAGGAGGAGGTGAGGTTGCCCTTTGCTGGATCAGCCGTGGTAGGGCACCATCGAGCAGAGGGTGTTAGTGCTTCAGTCTGGCGGTTGTGGGTGTCCATGCGGGCAGGCACATGCGCTCGCCGTTAGTGTGAAGCTGGGCAGGACCGATAGGGCTCCCTAGAAGCTCTCAAGAACTTCTCTCCATCATTAACTTGCTCTAGAGGAGGAGGAGGTGAGGTTGCCCTTTGCTGGATCAGCCGTGGTAGGGCACCATCGAGCAGAGGGTGTTAGTGCTTCAGTCTGGCGGTTGTGGGTGTCCATGCGGGCAGGCTGTTAGTGTGAAGCTGGGCAGGACCGATAGGGCTCCCTAGAAGCTCTCAAGAACTTCTCTCCATCATTAACTTGCTCTGAGAATAACCCGAAAGCCGTTCCCTGCTGCCAGCTTTCGAGGCAGCCTGTGGACTTCTTCTGCTGCCGATACCCACCTAGTTGATTACTCCAACGGGCAAAGATTCTGGTGCAAGGGACTTGGTGGAGTCCAAAGCTGCTGCCCAACCATCTCTGCAACACCCTCTTGGGGCTGAGCCCTTCCCCGAGTCCCAGCTGCCCCCTGCATGGGGACACCAGGCTGTTTGGTCAAGCCGTGCGTGATGTTGAGAGCAGCAGAGAGGTTCTTGGGGCAGCAAAGGTGTTGGGCAGCCGTTGGGAACCCCCACCAGCAGCAAACAGCCCACCCAGAACCCCCTTTTTTTGGGAGGTCCAGCAAAGGTGTGTGTGTGGGGGGGGTTTGGACTCGCCGCAGATTCGTGAGAACACACGTGTCTCCTCATGGAATGATGACCCAATTACACATTTTGGAGTTTTCCATGAATGTTTTATTAGTGAGTCATTTTATTAGCTACACTTCAGCTGTAGCCTTGCATGCAAAATTTAGCAGATGTCGGATTCCATCTTGAAAGGCTTTTCAGATTGCGGTGGCGCTTCCTTGACAAAGAGCAGCTAGGGATGCCAGGCAGTCGCTTCACAAAGCTTCGGCATCATTTGATCCTTATCTTCTTTTAAAAAAAAACACACAAAAAACCAACCAAAAAAACCCCCTCAAAATCCTGTCTTATTCATGGGGAAAACAGAAACCACCACAAAAGGATGTGGCTCTTCTTGACTTGCGGCTGCTGCTAAAATGTTAGGTCTTGAGATTTCCATGGGAAGTATCTGGGTGTTTGGGTTTTTTTCCCCTTTGTTGCCCATATATATATAAATATAAAATATTTAAATAAAGGACTGATGGTGGTAGAGCAGCTGAAACAAAGCAAGCACCTGGGGGAGCGAAAATCCCAAGCACAAGAACGATAACCCTGGCGACTTCTGAGCCCCAGGCACCCCAGAGGACATTTTTTAAAAATCCCCAATAAAAATATACAAAGAAAAAAAAATCCTTTTCCTCTCAGCCCTCAGTTCTTCTCAGAGTTGGCCCATAATTCTGTCTGACCCACAGGATGGGCTGTGTGGAGATACGTGTCTGAGGATGGGTCCAGCTGTAGTGACATCCCTGAAAACCGTTGAAGTCAATGGGAATAACGGTCAGTTTTCCTTTGCTGAGGTTTATGGAGAAATTCCTCTTGGTTTCTTCAAGTTCTTTGCGTCCCAAATAATGGAAGATCTTTGGTTCAAAGGTAAAAAGAGCAGACTGGCCCAAGGGTTGCTTTAAAGGGAAGGAGGGGTGCTGCAGGTTCCGTGGTACTGAGAGGGGGGGGGGAAAAGAGCCATTTACTGAATTGACCCAGAAATGATCCTTTTTGCCTCTTTGCTCCCAAGGCTGGCGTGAAGAGAAGGCGGCAAAGAAATTCAAAGCTCCTGATTTGTAATAGATACTGGAGGAAGCCATGGGGCAGGAGGGACTGGCCAGTGTCCCAAAGGGCAGCTGGATGCAGACAGACAGACGGATACATGGGCATGAGGGACTTCAGGGCGAGGGGAAGAGTGATTTCAAGAAGTCGAGGAACAAAAAAAAACCCAGTGTCAAGATGTTGTACTTAAAAGGCAAAAAAAAAATTAAATAATTCCCATCGAATACTTACAGAAAATTGGATACTTTTTAGTGATATCCTTTTCAAATTCCTTATTTCCAGGAGAATGAGGCTGTGGCAGGTGACCGACATCGTGAGCGTGTGTTACACACGCGTGTGCATGGAGCAGGCATAGGGTGAATAACGGGCCCGAGAAGCTGGGAGACACAATAAAAACCCTCGAAGGGAGACACAATAAAAACCCTCTCACGCTAGAAAAGAGCTGGCACTTTATTAACATTTTGTGACTAATAAATACATTACGGACAGCCAATAAATTATTACAATAACTAAACGCTCTATTAAACCAACGGACAGTCACTCTTCGTACAAAATTACAGTTAATACAGTTTGGGCCATCAAACATGCAGGAGAAAAACGATTTTCAGCGGGAAAAGGAAAATGGTGGTGGCGGCCTCCGGCGATCCTTCGGGAAGAAAGGCGGTGGGGAGCGGGGAGCCCAGAGGCGGGGTGATGGTCACCGTTCCCTTGTCGAGCTGAAAGGGGGGGAAAAGGGAAGCAGAGGTGGGGGGGGAAGGAAGGAATAGGACTGAGGATGTTAAATGAGGGACTGGGCTATTTAATGGCTGGTCTTTAAACAACTGTATTCGCTCACCCCGTGCCGCCGGGTTGCTCCAGCACTGGAAAAGCTGGTGAGACTCAGGCAATGCTGAAAATGGTGGTGTTACTGGTGTGATAGGGGGGGTGTTTAGACCTGGAAATGCTTGCCTGTGCTAGGGAACAGTCAGGATTTGGCCTCAAGGTGAATTTCCAAGGCGCTGGGTGGGCGAGGGGCTGGCTCCCAGCCCTCCAGCATCCTCCCTGCATCTCCCCTTCGCATCCCCACTGCACCCAGTGCCTGCCGCTCCAGCATCCTCCCTGCATCTCCCCTTCGCTGCCCCCGGCGCCCACCAAGGACTGAGATGCTCTCTCTGGGAGATGGAGATGGTCTTGTCCTGTCTCCCAACCTGGCTCCCTCCCCTCTCCTGCCAGCCGGGAGGCTTCAGTCCTCCTGCTCTTATTAACACATCAGCGTTTAAGGGTGGCCTTACCCTCGTGTTCGCTACCCGGCCTTCGCAGCTGGAATAAAGAGCTCTCAGGCTGCTGGTTTGGACACGAGGGGTCCTGTGAGAAGTCCCTTTCCATCCCCATGATCTCAGCCTTACGTCCTATATAGGTCAGGCCCCTATATCTGTCAGCATCAATTACCTCGTGTCATCTCAGAGGCTCAGAAATGACAATGCGCGCTCAAGTCCCGGGGCGCTTGGGGATGAGCGTTTCTGGCTGCTCTTCCCCCCCCCTGCCCCGGGGGAGGCAGAGGCAAGACCCTGGTCCCCTCCTTTGTGCCACCTGGACCACGGCTCTGCTTTCCCTCTCAGTCATGCCCGGGGGGTGCCAGCGTGTGCTGGTTGGGGGTGGCTCAGGATGATGCTCCGCGGCACCATCTCTCCTGCCCTCAATGCGTCCGGCGGCGTCAAACGGTTAAAAGGAGTGGTTTGAGTCTCCTTGGAAATGGCTGCGGGGTTTTTTGTTTCGGCCATAAGCCTGAAGACAAACCTGGCCCGTGACAAAGACACAAACACACTAGTACTAAAGCTTCTCTATCGTGGACTTGGCAAACGGTCAGCCTTGTTCCCAGGAACTCAACAGCTCTCCCTGCCTCCAAGGAGGTGGTTTTTTTGGGGTTTTTTTGGGCCACAAAATAGTGGGACACGTGGCACAGGCTAACCAACAGTGCAGGGCGCTGGTCCCTTTTACAGCATCGACTGCACAGTCCCCCGGGGCTGACACCAGGATGTTCTGGAGAAACGACATCATCCATGCCCCATCCTGACCTCTTGGAGATGGCGTTCCTTGGCCCCAGAACAAAGCCTGTTCCCTTGCAGCCAAGCCCTGGGCTGGTGCCACGATGGATTAAAACCACCAGATCCATTTTAATGTACGTTACGGTATAGGTTCCTCTCATTAATACTTTTAGTGCCCTGTAAAACAAAATCCCATCTACCGGGGAGGCACGGCAGC